CAGGGCAGGCTGCAGGATCCAGGGCAGGCTGCAGGATCCAGGGCAGGCTGCAGGATCCAGGGCAGGCTGCAGCTGCTGGGTGAATTCCCACCCACTCCTAGTGATGGCTTAGGTTGCATTTTTGGGAAGCTGGTATCACCATTTTGTGTGAGCATTGCCATAGTCTGCAGTGTGATAGAGCTGCACTGAGCACACACCTGTGCTAGATCCACTACCAAGCTGCCTAAAACAATCAAAATATGGTGGTGAGATTGCCCAACTCTGGGGTTTTAGGCTATTTGAAGTAGTAATAATGTGAAGATTGTTATAGGCAGCTCAGCCAATCAAATATGGTGTTAAGATAACCCAACACTGGGGTTTTAGGCTATTTGAAATGGTAATAATGTGAAGAGTGGTTGAGCTGCCTAAAACAATCAAAATATGGTGGTAAGATAACCCAACTCTGGGATTTTGGGCTATTTGAAATGGTGATAATGTGAAGATTGGTTGAGCTGCCTGGGTGTAGCTTGTAAATTCTGATCTTGCCTGTAAGTGCTTCAGGCTGGAGGGGAAGGCCCCATAAGCCTTACAGGCATGGTAGAATTGCTTGCAAGTGCTGTTTTTTCTAGTAAAAACACAGAGGGTGATCTGAACATGGCAGGGGAAAAGTGAAATGTGAATTTCTTCTAGAATACAGCTAATTTTAGCCTTTTACACAAGGTACTTTCAAACCTCAAAACTGAATGAATGTTTTCAGTCCAGGTAACAAATGGCAAACTTACAAATGGCAGTTCTATTAAGAAGCAGGTCTAGTTAATGTCAGAATTCAATGTGCTTGCAGTTCTCAAATCTCCATTTACTTCCTTCACTACTTACAAAATCATACTCTTATTGTGTAAAGTTGTATGTTTTATGGAATGTAATGGAGTTCTGGAGAACAGAGTGTTCAGGCACATAATTTATGTAGGATCTTTATTGATTCTAGTTGGTCTTTAACAGTTGTTGTAACACCTGTTCTAGAATTCAGGAATTTTTGTAAGTTCCTCTGTATCTGGGTTGTAGGGAAATTTCTTGTACAGTAATGAGGTGTAGTAATGCTGAGAATTGCTGCTGTGTATTTGCTTACTATGAATTGCTCATATAGCATGTTAACAGAGAGACATCTGGGTGCAAAATGGGGCTGCAAGAGGAATGTCAGAGTAGGGCAAATAATCTACTACCCTTCCCCTACTGATTGATTTAGCATTTACTGATCTAGCATTTTTACAGCCACTGGTGAGAAGCTGAGACTCAACTTTAGATTATTTCCTTGGGGTAAAATGTGCTGCCAACTTTGGGTTATTTGGGAGGGATTCACACCCAGCCTGTGTTTACATGACTTTGTGTGTATGATGTGTGTTTCTTTGTTAGATCATAGACTGCAGCATGGCTGTGCAGGAGGAGCCAAAGGAGCCCTATGTGTCCTCAGTGCTGCCGTGGATTATCCTGCACAGGATCATCCAGCATGAGGAAGATGCTTTTCGATCCCTTTGCTGCCAGCAGCAGCAGAGCCAGGGAGAAGAAGGTGGATTATTTCTTCACTTTTACATATTGCACCTGAGCTCTTTACCATCCAGCTCAGGAATATAAGTAATAAAATACTTGTTTGTTGTCTTACCTTGCTGGCTGAAGGGAGGAGAGGGCTTTGCAAGCATCACTTTACACCAGAGGTGTTTGCCACTTGAAGCATTGACTCAGATTTAACTCAGTTCTGTGCTACTTTAATATTTACCAATTTCTTTCTTCCAGTGAGTCCTGATACCCCTATGTTGCCTTCTTCACTTATGCTGCTGAACACAGCTCATGAATATTTGGGAAGAAGGTCCTGGTGTTGCAATTCAGATGGTGCTCTGCTCAAGTTTTATGTAAGTACAAATTGTGGAATAACTGAGATTGATTCTGATTGATCTCTGAAAATCATCTGGCCAAGCCACATCCCAAAGCAGGAAACAAAGTTCAAAGTTAGATTGTTTGCTGCCTTATCTTCATGTTAGATATACACTTTTAAATCCACTTTCCAACTTCTCCCAGACAAACATATGAAAGTTTCAGTCAGTTTAATCTGAATAGCAAAGGCTTGTTATTCCAGAGCCTTTTCTATCGGTCTGCTTCTGTCATACTCCCCATTGTTCTCTGGACTTGCCTCACTGAGAGAAAGAATTGTTTTCTTCTCTTTTTTCTCCTTTGTTTTGCTTCTTGCAGTAGTGTTTTATTTTGTTCATGGGATTTGAAAGGGAAGTAGGGATAACCAAGCAGTTGGATAGTGCTGTACAGCATTCAGGAGCTAAAAAAACCTGTTGTGTCACATCTTTAAAATTGCTGCTAAAATAACACAGTGGGATTCCATATTCATCTTGTCTCAGTGGTTCTAAATAAGTTGCTCACTTCACAGGACTGAATTTGTCAAGTGTTAGGTAGGGTTTGCACATTTCAGTGTACATAAATACTGTTTATCATGTAAAAAGAACATATTTAAACTTTCATCCAAGAAAATTCAGTTTTGAACAGCTTGGTTGTTTGTTTCTTCCAAACCATAAGAGTGAAGATTTGCAGCTCATCATCTGTCCTCAGTTACACAACTGGAATGCTTCTGATTGCTCCAGTGTTACCTGGATTTGCTCTGAAGCTGGGATGCATTTAATTGTTCTGTGGTTGATAAATTTGTATCTATCTTGATTTTATACCACAGTCTGAAAAAAAATAGCTTTTTTTCTCTATTGTTTTCATGTTATGAACTAAATATTATTTAAAATACACATACACAGTTCATCTGTTGCACAGTGATGAGAATGAAGAATTACTTTGTCCCTCCATTTTCCTGTGTGTTAAGGCTGTTCTTTGCTTTGTTTGTCAGATGAGTCTGTTACATCTCATCTCATGTGCTCCAGGAATGGCTGTCTGGGCACTACTATTTAGCATTATTAGATGAAAGGACTTACCCATTCATGGTTGACCTTTTTAAGATTATTCCTTGAGGTCTCATTGTTACACCAGAAAAGAAATTTCCCCTTTGGTTCTATTTGGTTAAATAGAATATTTAATTAATATTTAAGATTGCTTTTATGCAAAATAAAAACATTAAAGCAGCAGTAAATTATTGAAACAGGCCTTCCCTTCCCTTCCCTTCCCTTCCCTTCCCTT